CTGAAGCTGCTCAAGAGGCTTCTCCACAATTCTGTCTGTTGAAATTTTGAATTTCAATCTCGTTCTCGAGAAATGACCATGGATGTGAGGCACTATGCAAAAATAGGGAGATTTTGAGGTACATCTTCGAACTTCCAGGGAAAACGGTTCGTTGAATCATCGCGCCCTTTGACACGAAGACGAATGGGGACGGTCTCTAAAAACTCTAGCATGCTTTTCACGATGCAATGTTTCTTCGGAGAATGAGCGAGGGAAGAAGCGAATTCGCGAAACGCGAATTTTCACAAATGGCGCCACGGCGTCTCAGGGAGCAGAGAGATGCGCTTTTGGGGCTCATCATTTAATATGTTCTGTGGCGAGGAGAATGGCGCAAATTTGACGTTTCTGCGACCAAGGGTTGGGGAGATATAGATTTTCGAAGAGAGGCATGCAAATCGTGACCTTTGACCATTCGCCACGGTCAGGTGCTTGACCTGAGAGTGCCAAAAAAGTGGCTCCAAGGCCCTCCCTTGGGGTCCTCTACAATAATTATGAGCCAGAATTTGATTCTAGGGGGGTCGATTTTCATCTTCCTTTAGTACCTTAATGTGAATTTATTTATTTGCCATTCAAATATATCCACGCATCGAATAAAATTACGTTTTATGAAATTTTCTTTTTGATCCAAGTTGACATTTCCCCTCTTCGTGCCAAGCAAGGAAAAAAAATACAGGAAATGCGTTCGGGGAAAAGGCGATCTGCGAATGCAGTCCGAGTGCGAATACTTGGCAAATACTTTATCTCAGAAGTCTTCGATCGTGGGATGAGCTGGTGAGGGCAGACCGACAGGAAAAAAAAAAGCATTTTTATTGGATCGTTCAGAACTAGAGTCCAGAAATTTGGAGAATTCCTTCAGGAATCACAAGCGAGAGAGGAAAAAGAGGGAGGAAGAACTTTTTCCTGACAACCGCGAGTTCGCGACGCTTCGCGAGGGTCGTTTCACGCCGGATCGACCGGAGCGCGAGCTCGACCGTCTCGGATTTCGACGAAGATCGCCGTACAGGCGGAGGAATCGATTTGAAGAAATTTATTTCGACCGATTTTTCGTCTCTCGCACGGATCTCCAGATGCGTGCAATCTAGTGCGACATATTTTTCGCTTCCGTACGGACTGGAATTGTGAAAACTGTCTGCAATAAAAATTTCCTCTGGTTAAGATATTAGCTTCATTCTGGTGCATTTTAATTGCGAAACTGTCGTCTTTGAATCGATTCTAGCCAGAATTCTCCAAAGCTGAAGCAAGAAATTGCACTCGATCAGTTCGATCGGGTTCAGTGGCCGATAAACGAGGAGGCACACGAGGCACGTACCGAGTGCGTCTACATTCCACCGATTCTTTTTTTTTTTCTCGTTGGATCCCGGGCGTGGAAACGTTGGGTGCCCTCGAGCTACGGCCTCGCCAGGATATCCCCGCGTTTCGCGCCTCTTCAAGTGTGCCCGATTCACTCGTCTTTCCACTCGCCCATTTCTTATCTTCCATTCCCCCCTTCCCCCCCCCCCCTCCTTCGTGGCTTCCCACGTGTCTTCGCCCTTGCAAGTCGCGGATCTAGACCAAGCAGCGACGGGAGCGTCCGAGTTCCTTATTTTCCGCGAGCCCGCGTCGCGGACGGCACGGAACGCCGCGTCGACGACCCGCGCCCGAGGAACAGAAAAGAACGACGACTCACCGAAACGATTCCGCGTCGAATCTCCGCGTCCCTTCGCGTCTCCGCGACGACGACGTCCCCCATCGCACATCCCTTGCACGGCCGCTTCCGTCCTTCGTCGGCTCCCTCCGACCTCCCACTTCCCAGCCAGACCTTCCCCTCCACTCCCTCCGCCCGCACTCGAATCGCAGCGAACATCCTCGCCATCCTCTCCTCGCGACCGCCTTGCCGACGGATCTTCACATCTCCTCGCGGACTCGGAAAAGGCGATCGTCGAGGCCACACCCTATAAATTCGTCTCTTCCCACGATTCCGAATAGTCCACTCCGCAACCCGCCATCGCCGATGAGACGACGAGCAAAAAACCTGGAAAGAGAAGGAAAGAACGAGTCACCCGCCCAACCGACCAAAAAAAAAAAAAAAAACGGGGCCCAGATATTTCCCCTTGCCCGTATAATGGTTAAGATCATTTCCCCCTTCCCCCTCGCTGGCCTCGACTCCCGCGAGGATTCGTTCATTCCTTCGTTCCTTCCCACGACTCGCAGGAGCCACGGCGGGTCCGTGCCCGTCTCGCTCGTCCCGCGGCACGTCTCTCGGCACGGCTCGATCTGAAAACGGACTGCGGCCGCCGCTCGCGTTTCCTCGGGGATTCTTCCCTCGGAATCGACGGGTCCGGTGTCGTCGATGCCGCGAGTTCGTTCCCCGGAACGCCGTCGGGGCTTTTCGGTTCCCGACCGATTCCCCGCGAAAGAGGGGAAGAAGTTCCGTGCCGTGACGTCACGCCGACGTGACGCTCTCTCCGAGGACCGCGTCGGCCGGACTCTCGTTCGAACTCCATCGTGTTTAAATTCGCCGAATCAACCACCGAATGCAACGATGATAAAATTTCCACAAATAAATTCCGAAAAGTTAACATCGGAAATAATCGAGATCGCACGTCGCCGAGAGAGCGATGACGCGCCTTGCCTCGCCCCCGAATCTCCGGAAAGCGACGAAACACGCGGAAGCGGGCCACCGAGAGACACACGTCTCGTTCGTCTTCCAAAACTCTCGAGTGAACCACCCTCGCACGTGATGAACGAACCGGAACGATACGTGGAAAGAGCCCGAGACCGTCATCAGCGTGAATGCGGATCGCGTAAGCACTCCGCCGGAAACACGAAAAACCCGACCGGACACGGAGCCACCCGTCCACGAACTCGTCCTCGACGTGAGAGAGCGCACGAGCCTCATGCACCTGCGACAAAAAAAAAAGTCGCCGGTGACTCGACGGCGAATCACCGTTGAACTTTTTCCCGTTCCGGTCCCCGAGGCATCGAACCGTGCCCGGTCGGCCGGGGGTCGACGAGGACCGCCGCGTGTCGCGACGAGCCGAACTCCGCGATCGACTCCGAGGGGACGTGACGAAATGAATCGAAGAGACTTCAAAATTCTGCATGTCGTTTATCAATTTTTTTGCATTTCGGGCTCTTGCGAGTCCCGTTCGGCCGCATCCGACACTTTGGACGCCGTCAGCAGAATGCAAATCGTGCGTTTCGCTGCATTTTCATCACGTACAGAATGAAAGGAGGCCGTGCACGAAGAAACGAGCAGGGTCTCAGTGCTTCAGGGCTGCAGGGCTTCAGGGCTGCAGGGCTTCAGGGCTGCAGGGCTTCAGGGCTGCAGGGCTTCAGGGCTGCAGGGCTTCAGGGCTGCAGTACTTCAGGGCTTCAGGGCTGCAGGGCTCTCGACTTCAAAAGACACGAAAGAGAAAGAAATTGACGGCGCCCACGACCCGACTTCACGCCTTTCCTCATCGCAATTCCAGCATCGCGATAACGATGGCAACGGGCACACGCTCAAGTCACCTTTCGTCACCAGAACGCATTCCGGTCGGTCGAAGCGACGCGTCGACGCCTCACTCGACGCCTCACTGCCTCTCACCGTTTTCCGGCGCATCCGAGCCGCGCCGGAAGTTTCATCGCATTTCCGGGAACTGAAATCGCATCCTTCGCCATTAAGTCAGCAGTTGTGCGTCTAATTCCATTCGGCGTATATTATTCTGCGTTTTCCTTCGGCCAATTTTCGGGAGGATCGAGTCGACACATCAGGCGCTGCGCTTCCGACCATTTAAAGAAAAAATCGCGGGGGGGGGGAAAAAACTGCCCCTCGTGATTCTTGGATCAGCTCCAACATATTTTTTTTTCCAATCAAAGCATGCATAGCCTCAAAATGCATGGAGAAACTGTCAAGTTTCGGTGAAAGGGTTTTCCTAAGCGATCGTCGGACCAAATCCCACGAATGAGAAAATTTGCCAATGAGTTTCACACAGCCACAGGTGTACATTCTCAAACGCTCCGATGGAAAAATTGAAACTCCTTTGCGCAACGAGGAACATGAGCAAAAATTGCATTTAAAAATGTCAATACATATTTCACAGAAGATGCAGAAAAAATAGTGCAAGACATCGAAAAAGTGTGGAAAAGCTTCTCTGCTAGAGAAGAATCCCAGGGGAAACAGATGGACTTGCCCTATGGAATTTGCATTGCAACGGAACGCGAACCCAATACTCTGTAACTATTACGCGTGGATTTCTTTATTCATTTTTTTTTTACTCAGTGTCGCCTGTTGCTAGCCGTTGTACCTTCCCACACACGTGAACGTGGCGCAAGATCCTTGAGAAAATCGTCACATGGAGTCCCGGCTGAAAATAGCAAGAGCCAGGGCGTTTCGACTCAGTTGCCTTACCGAACGGACACTCCAGGGAGCAACGATGGAGTGTTTGAAATTCGTGATTGGAACATTCCTCCTCCTCCTCCTCCTTTCCGCCCCGGCGAGATGCGACGAAGACGGACTCTTCCGGATCGGCGTCGGCATCGCTGATTGCACCGGGCCTGCTGCCGGAATCGGCTTCGTGAGATTCACTACTTAAATATATATTTTTTCGTTACTCCCCGAGATGTTTTGCCATTCTCGCCTGATGTTGCGATTTCTCATCGGCCTTTCAGAGCCAAAGTCAACGTACCTCGTACACCAGAATCTGTTTCATTTAAAATTTCGTGAATCTGAGAGAGGATCTCGTGGCAATTCGACGAAAATCAGATTCTCACTCACGGACGCTTTGGAATAGAGCAGATGGGGTACGCCAACCCGAGTCAGACCGGAGCTGGAATCCACACGAGACAGTTTTCCAGGGCATACATCATCTGTGACGATCCGGGAGAATGCCTGGTCTTCGTGATCGCCGACATCGGCATGATGGACACAGCCGTGAAGACTCAGGTGAGGACGCTTTATTCATTTTTTTTTAGGAAGGAAGAAAGGTTTTTTAGGAAATAGGGGGGGGGGGGGGGGGAAATGATCTTAACCATTATACGGGCAAGGGGAAATATCCAGGGTATATTTCATTAATAAAGTTTGGATTTACTTTTAGGGAAAAAACCCTAAAAATGTTTGGCCTTGTCCGTTTGCGTCACGAAAATACCTTGTCCGGATAAGGGCTAAAAATTTGTTTTCCTATATCAGGAAGATCGTTAACTCCAAAGTTAAGAAGTACTTTAAACTTGGAAATGGGGCGGGTGAAGGGGAGACATTTGGGGAGTTCAGCGATGAATCTCATGAGGCCATTCTCGGTTCGGTTGCATCCCTTTTAATTAACTCCGACATCCGAAAACGCTGCGTTACAGAGACGAGTGTCGCAGGTATGTCAAAAAGCGTCAGAATCAAGTAAGAAAAAAAATGAAAACGTACGTCCGTGTCGTTCTACAATGAGACCTAATTTTGCCGGACTTACGCTATTAGAACGTAGAAAAACTGCACTTGAAATGCACTCTATGTGATGCCTCTCGAGACTTGGCTAATTTGATTTCTGCAGCCAGAAAGCAACGGATGATGATGTGGCTCGTTGCAGGTGGTGAGGAGACTCCAGGAAGAATTCGGCGGAATATATCACCAGGAAAATGTGATCCTTTCCGGGACCCACACGCACTCGGGAACGGCCGGCTTCCTCCAGTACCTCCTCTTCCAGATCACGAACCTGGGGTTCTCGGAGGAAGCTTTCGACGCTTACGTGGATGGCATGGTCAATGTGAGTTTCCGATCGCAAAGGTGGCGAGGACGCGGAATGAGGGCAGTCGGGCAGCGAAATGCGAGATCCGGTATGGCCACGTCCGGAAAGATGCGAAACACGCAGGGATATGACAGGCGCTAAGAAATGGCAATCCGTTTTTTTTTTTTAATCCCGGGCCGATTCGGGTGCTCTCTGAGCCTGAACAAACCGTGGGACTATAATTGCAAATGCTGTCACGCAGTTTGAATCCACGTCTTCCCCGGAAATCCATTGATGAGACCAAGGCTAAAATGCGTTCCTCATCTACAACCGAGGCTAACCTGCATAAGATGAAGACTTATAAGATGAAGTACGACTAGCAAAAAAATGGAATTACGTAATCTGAAAGATGCAGCATTCTAATAAGAGAGAAAACGCTCGAGTAACTGAGATTCACTCTCCCGTCGCTACCGATTGCTTCCACTCCCACTTTTCTTCTCCCTCATTTATTTTGTTTTGTGGAAATTCCAACAGCAAAAACTGTTTGTGGTAATGTCGACGACGGTACCTGTCTGCTTCGAGCCATCTAATCGCCCCCGAAAGAAAGTAATTCCAGTAGTCGATGCCAGAAGGAATGGACTCCACAGAGTGAAGGAGACACGCGGTTACGTTGTGACTCCACTCCAACCCCTTCCCCTTCCCCTTCCATCCTCCCACTTCGTGAAAGGTCGATCCAGCTTTTGGGTCGGCGTTCCTTTTCATCTCTGCAGCGAGACATTCTGCGTTTTGAGCAATGAGCCTGGGGAAAACATGGGGAATCCTTCATTTTTCGGTGCGTGGAACATTCTGTACATCCTGCTCGTTATGCGCAAATGCAGGCAGGCAGACGCATACATGCTCACTCGTGCCCACTGGCATCCAATCGTTTAGACACGACAAGACTTGCGCGCGGAATTGGGATAAGCTGAACTCGGGACGTCTGCACACGTTTATGTAAGAGGGGGATGACGCTTCCGAACATAAAGTAGAGGGTATAACTAGAGGGTATAAATAAAGGCGATACTCCGAGGGATAGGGGGGAGTCGAAATATCAGAGAGACATCTGGTGGTTTATCAACAACCCTTCCATGAGGCCTGCTTCGTGGCAGCGGAATCAACTCGTTCGAGGATTCGACTCAAAGGGTCGTAACCATAGAGTGTATATAGATGTCTCTGGAGGTACCTTCGCTGCCTCGAGACTTACAAGTGCTTCCGCCATCTTGGTGAAGTCTCGCACGTGGAGAATGATTAGCATGATTGGTTGGGTCCCGGCGTGGAGGCCCCCAGGCATATAGCTCGGGGAAAGTTACCTCTTTTGCCTCCCCCTCTCCATGTGTCTGCTATGAACTCCTTGCTCAGGAGTCAGGAGAGTTAGTGATATCAGGAGGCGATTTCGCCCATTTCGATATCACGTGTCGAGGTGCAGAGATGAAAAGGAACGCCGACCCAAAAGCTGGATCGACCTTTCACGAAGTGGGAGGATGGAAGGGGAAGGGGAAGGGGTTGGAGTGGAGTCACAACGTAACCGCGTGTCTCCTTCACTCTGTGGAGTCCATTCCTTCTGGCATCGACTACTGGAATTACTTTCTTTCGGGGGCGATTAGATGGCTCGAAGCAGACAGGTACCGTCGTCGACATTACCACAAACAGTTTTTGCTGTTGGAATTTCCACAAAACAAAATAAATGAGGGAGAAGAAAAGTGGGAGTGGAAGCAATCGGTAGCGACGGGAGAGTGAATCTCAGTTACTCGAGCGTTTTCTCTCTTATTAGAATGCTGCATCTTTCAGATTACGTAATTCCATTTTTTTGCTAGTCGTACTTCATCTTATAAGTCTTCATCTTATGCAGGTTAGCCTCGGTTGTAGATGAGGAACGCATTTTAGCCTTGGTCTCATCAATGGATTTCCGGGGAAGACGTGGATTCAAACTGCGTGACAGCATTTGCAATTATAGTCCCACGGTTTGTTCAGGCTCAGAGAGCACCCGAATCGGCCCGGGATTAAAAAAAAAAAANCTACGCCGAGATCCAAATCGTTTATGTAGACCAAAAACAGAAGCGGTCCAAGGACCGAGCCTTGAGGGACACCGCTTGCGACTCCGACCTCCTTCGACGCTTCCCCATTTATCATCACCCGTTGCTCTCGTCCTGCCAACCAGCTACTGATCCACTCACTCGTCCTACCCTGGATCCCGTGCGCCTCCAGTTTAACCCGCAACCTCTTGTGAGGAACGGTGTCGAAAGCTTTCGCGAAATCTAAATAGACGATGTCCACGGGATTCCCTTTATCCCTCTCTCGTGCTCGTGCGACTTCAGTAAGGTGGCGGCCGCGCCTGGAAGGATACAACGCCTCGCGCTATAGGGGAGGCCCTTAAATTATACACTCTCAATGGTCGTAACTCGACGTAAAACACGTGTCTCGTTGAGTCCGCTGCTCGGCCAAGGAGGAGTTTTTGATGCGCGCACGCTAGGTGTAGGATCGACAGTGACATCTATATTGCGACCGTCAATGAATGGGATTCGAGCGGAGTAGAGCCTCTAGTTACGTCTATGCTTCCGGAGAGGAAGGTCGTCCAGTGCGTCCAAATAATCTTACTTTTATGCCAAGTCGCACTGGTTTTTCCCCAGTATGCGTGGAGACGCATATACGAACGCACAACAAGCGAAGTGCGAGCTTCATGCATTCATCACGAAATCGCACGCGCTACTCACAATAGAGGAAAAAATGCAAAACTGCCTTGAGGCAATTGCCACACACGCAACAAAGATCCAAGGAAGGAAGCAAGCCTCTTCGATGTGCTTTCTAGAATTTTGAGCATCATTCTTTTCAGTGTGACAAAAAAATTGAAGGAGAATCCTCTACGATGACTTTATTCATATGGGACATTGCCCAAAATTCAGATCTTAATATTTACCCTGTCTTTTGGAAAAATTGCAACGATCTCCATCTCTTACGCACGGTTTAATTTTCCACAATTTTCCCTGGTGGATTGAGCAACTCTTCACCATAGAACCTTTGGTAGAGATGATAAATAATATATCCATTAGACCAATGAAGTATTCTGATTCCGAGAATAGAATTTGCTTTAACGAAGATAAATCCTGAATGGAACGTTGTATCCACCTCGAATCAGCATCATACATGTTCTTCCTTCGCATTTTTAGAGCGTACGGGCCGCTCACGGAAACTTGCAGCCCGGTCACATCTACTACAACGAAGGAGAACTGCTGGAAGCCAACATCAATCGAAGCCCCATTTCATACCTCAATAACCCTCCAGAGGAACGCGCTCAGTGAGTGAGGGAACGAGTGTATCACAAGTGAGTAAATTTCACACGACGAACGAAATATCAATCCAAATCCCATCTCTACAAGGCACACGCAGCTCTACAACTCCATATTTCTGATTCATCATTGTTCCATGCGTGATAAGCTGGAAAAGAGTTGAATTGAAACGTGGCAGACCGATGGTGAAGTGGCCTCTGACTTACTCGACCGCCTTGCGAGCAGGTGCAACTTCTTCTTTCTATACATGAGGCCGAACATTCGCCATATTTATGAAGGCAATATAAGTATTTAAGTGCGAAGCTACTTAGTTCGATGAAAGTACAGGTAATATACCGATACAGGTATAATAACTGCACGAATAATTAGCAGACGGAGTTCAATCCAGATTTAGCAAAAACTGACTCGGGGACACGGGAGTGTAGTGACATCCAAGAGAAGGAAAAACAGGCGGTAGGAAGTTCAATGCGATTTCATTCTTTTCGCTTCAGGCTGAAGAAAAGAGAAAGGCACACTCACGTCCTATCCATTAAATGGAGGGTTGAAGAGTGGATGTTTCTCGCGTTTTGCCAGGTACGAATACGACGTGGACAAGGGGATGCAGCTGCTGAGGTTCGAGTCCGTCGCGGGAGACCCCTTGGCCTTGCTCACCTGGTTCCCCGTGCATTCCGTGTCCATGAACAACACCAACAAGCTCATCTCTGGAGACAACAAAGGAGTTGCAGCCATGATCGTGGAAGCTGCCTTCAATCCAGGTGCCTTACCTGGGAAGGTAAGGAGGCATTGCCCAGCAAAATTGCTCCGATGTTCATGATCGAATTTCTTCGCAATGATCCGCCAACGAACACTAGTATGAATTAGGCAAAATTGTGTAACTGTATTCGATTATACTATAGTTCAGCACTTCATACAAGTTCAAGCTATTCCAATTATTAGTCAATAAGCAGATATTTATATTCCTATGCATTCCTTCTACGATCCAGGGATCATTTGTGGGTGGTTTCGCATCATCAAACTTGGGAGACGTGAGCCCCAACATCAAGGGTCCAAGGTGCATCGACACCGGGGAACCGTGCGATCCCGTCACTTCCGCGTGCGGTGGGTCCAACAAGAACTGCATCGCGTTCGGGCCCGGTGACACCATGGAGGAGTCCACATGGATCATCGGGGAGCGCCAGGCCAACAAAGCCTTGGTAGGATTCTTCTTTCCCTCGTGGAAAGACGGTCCACGAAAAGGTCAAAGGGTGGTGAAGAAGTTCCCGAGATAAGCGAATTCGCACGTGCGAATGAACGTGCACGTACAGCTTATCCACCTCGCTGGTTTACCACACCGAGTTTGGTGTAATCTGTAGAAGGGTCGTCCCGGTAGAAGACAAGAGTCAGAAATGCTGGACACAGTAATTCTGTGACTCCTGCAAAAAGAATCAGTTTGTATCCGCTTCTTATTGAACTTCGGTATAGCCAACGACGCCCCTTTACGTGTCTTCCCACCCTGTGTCCTTCGGTAGGTTCTTTAAAGTTCAGGACGGTAGAAATGAAAATAATTATTTAAAATGTGGAACATACCAACGTATAACAACTTGCATCTAACTGCAGCTGATGAGGCGTTATTGTAACCCAAGATATTCCGTAAGAAGTGTGCAATTCAATACTAGCATAATAATTTAAAGCTAGCAAGTTTTATCCGCTTTCTCTCACCTCCACGTTGTCCACGAGTAATATATTTCTTTCTATGCGTGGGATCGATGGAAATACCTGCTGTTCGATTTTGTGTACGATACTTCAGGAACTTTTCGAGGACACAGCAAATCTACGAATGGTGACAGGGACGGTGAAATACGTGCACCAATTCGTGGACATGACCAACGTCACCGTGGAGCGCCTAGATATTTTCGGTCACATGCGTCAGGTAAGAGTCCAGATCACCAAAGCAAAAGGGTACACCGCACAGTGGATGTGGATGTAGACTGTCTCTGCTCCCCTTAGCGGAGGACGTGCAAGCCCGCGATGGGATACAGCTTCGCAGCGGGATGCATGGATGGAGCCGGAATGTTCGACTTCACTCAAGGAGAAACGGACTCCAATCCATTTTGGAACTTCGTGACCGATTGGATTCAAGATCCGACTCCCGAGCAGATTGCATGCCATGCACCGAAGCCCATCCTCATCGATACCGGCGAGGTGAGCTATCCAGAATGTCTATAAGCCACCAATAAAGTAATAGAGGCTAAATATATACCCTGAATCCATATATCCCTAATTGAGGACCTATCCTGAAATTCAATCGCGTGTAGAGTTTAAGGGCTACTTGTGTCGAAATGGTATCTTTCGCAATGAAAGAAATTTCATACTAGCACATTGCATGAGCTTAGCTTTTTATCGGCAAAAGAGAGGTCTTTCATTCCCACAGACAATATGGTCGTGTGCAGACGTGATGAACGCTATATTGGGCTTCGTTGAGACAGAAATGGAAATATCCCTTGATGGAAAAGAAATTCTGAATTGTCCTTTTCTGTCCCTCCCCCCTGCGAGAGATACCATTGGACCCCATTTATTCCATCCATTAAGTCACTGCAATTTTCCCAAAGCGATTTCCACAACGCACATCATGCAAAACGCAAGGTACTGTAACAAGTACCGGTACCTAATGACTTACCTGCTGAATAAATCATCTTTCATCTTATAAATAATTCAATCATAACCATTCAGGATCTCTTAATGTTCCAATTCACATACCATAATCGGCATGAAAGTAGCACCCAGGAGTTCTGGATGAAATTCAGTATTGGAGCTCATAGTAGGGTAAGTGAGACAAATTCCGACCCCCTTAAGAAGTTCTTTTTATCTAAATCCGCCCATCGCCGACTTTTTCAACTCGAGGGCTTTCGGACCTAATCCGCATGACAGGAAAATGTATACGCTACATATTCATGTTCATGGATCAGACATCAAGACCAGTCATGAAATTTGGAAGAAGAGATGAACCCGTCACATTTTCTTCCTATTCCGACCCCTCAGGTACAATTCCGACCCCAAAATGTTACTTATTCCGACCCCTACAACCGCGTGGCCTATAGGGGGCGTAATTGAATTGCTTGAATCGAACGCCTCATATGACCAATCATAAATTGATCATCGTGTTGCTCCACACATGTCAAGTTTATTTTTATTCTTTTGGACAAATGAAAATAAACAAAATACACTTGAGAAATTAAAAAAAAATTAAGCATCTGGCAAACGAAACACGTATTATTTCATCATTTAGGAGAACTCAGACTTTCAAAAAGGTCCTTGTCTTGAATATGCTAGGATAATACGATTTCGCCATTGTCATTCGTTCAGTTATTCCTGTTCATTCTTTTTTCTCTTGACATGTCTAGCGTTTGAGTTTTCCTTCGTTTCTGCCATCCCTTCTCTCAAGCGCTTCCTACGCGCCATGTCCTTCTTTTGGGCAGCTTTTTCCCTTTTATCATTCATTCTCCGTTGCTTCTCTTCATCTTCTTTTTGTTTCTTCGCTTCCCTGCTTTCGATCAACGTCATCCACCCGATCGAAGTCAGGCCGGAAGGCTGTCGACGAGGATGTTCTAGGGAAACAGGATCTGATTTTTTCTTTGATAGAGATGGCCACGGTAGGAAATGAGTCAACTTCACAGTTCCTGATGGTGCCTCAGATTCCTCATGAAGGGATATCTCCCCCTCTGTTGCGCGTACGTCTTCATCCTCGAGGGGCACCTCAGTTGATCGAAGACCTCCATCTACGAGGGGCTGCTCAGCTGGTAGAAAGTCATCTTCCACGATGACCGTAGCAGGTGGCCCTTCAAGGTGGTGGTGATCTGCTTTGGTGAAAAAGTTCCAAAGAGCCGTGACCTGTACGGAGAGCGCCGGATCATCCTCAAGAGCGTCTCCTCTCTCTAGCTTCGCGACGACGCGTGGATCCATGAGTCTTTTGAAATCCTCGAAGGACATGACCCTTACCTCCTCAGGTTCCTCGTTCTCGACCGGGATGAGAGACTTCTTTCGACACTTACTGTAGTCGATTGCATCAGGTGAGAGCGGGAAGAGTCATCAAGGAGGTGGTGATCTGCTTTGGTGAAAAAGTTCCAAAGAACCGTGACCTGTACGGAGAGCGCCGGATCATCCTCAAGAACGTCTCCTCTCTCTAGCTTCGCGACGACGCGTGGATCAATGAGTCTTTTGAAATCCTCGAAGGACATGACCCTTACCTCCTCAGGTTCCTCGTTCTCGACCGGGATGAGAGACTTCTTTCGACACTTACTGTAGTCGATTGCATCAGGTGAGAGCGGGAAGAGTCCGCAGGTTCGGAAGCCACTCTGGATGGCACTTGTCAAGTGTTTCCCTTGTAAAACCTTTTCCAGGAGCCGCAATGAGTCTTTTGAAATCCTCGAAGGACATGACCCTTACCTCCTCAGGTTCCTCGTTCTCGACCGGGATGAGAGACTTCTTTCGACACTTACTGTAGTCGATTGCATCAGGTGAGAGCGGGAAGAGTCCGCAGGTTCGGAAGCCACTCTGGATGGCACTTGTCAAGTGTTTCCCTTGTAAAACCTTTTCCAGGAGCCGTTCAAAGTCTTTTCGTGCCAGAACCTTGTTGGGATTCTCACCCTGGCACTTGTGCACAATAGACCTTCACCTTTTTTTCATCGGCCCGAAAACGGCGACATCGAGCGGCTGGATGATATGTGAGGCATTCGGATAAAGAGAAAACAACTCGATTTATTCTTCTCGGCACAACACACTGAGTTGTAGGCTGATGTGGGATTTATGTCCATCTAGGTATAGCAGAACTGGGCGAGGGATTCCACTCCTTTCGAGGTATGGCACAAACACATTGCTCACGTATTCGTAAAACGTGTCAGAGCGCATCCAACCTGACTTGCTCTTCCCGATCCCCCAATTTGGTGGGATACTTTGTGCCAGGTCCTTGGAAATCCTCTAAAGGGGAAAGATGATCATTGGTGCAGCCACTGTTCCATATGCTGACATGTTTCCCAAAACGGTTAACTGCTCCTTTTCGGACCCTAGTGCGGTCGCGTTCACATTTTTTTCCTCTCGTGGGCCAATGACCATACCAGTGCCTGGACATAGCTGAAATCCAGATTCATCAACATTAAAAATTATTCTCGGGTCTTTCACTGCATTCTCAAGGTGTCGTTCAATGATGAACTTCTCCAGCTCATCGAACCAATCTCTCAAATCTTCTTCCTGCACGAGTGCCCTGGCTTTGGATATTGGCTTGGAAGTTCTTGGGGAAAGTTCTTTTCAGGATTCCTAGGCGTTCAAAGTCTACATTTTTTTATGGCATTTTGGCTATGCGTTCCAGATCTGGAACGGCGAGCAACATCCAAGGATCTCACCGCAGATGGTGTTTAAACGACATGCAATATAGGGGCATTGTCGACTCAGGGATACATAGCTAAGCTACTATTTGGTAAACTGACATTTCCAAATTTACTGCATTTTCCTTTTTTTTATTAATGACCGCAACTAAATTGTCTCTCCTCGAGGATTTTGATGGCTTTCACCTGAACTAATGCAACAGATAACCCGAGTTATTTATTTCGCCATTTTGGAAAGAAATCGAAGACGCCTCAGACGCTGTAGGCTAGTATGGATAGTCTGGAATCTAGTGAAGCTCCTATCTTAATCTAGGAATCTTAAAATGCCAGTATTCCGAGAAAATAGTTCATGTTTCCCTGTTCATGGATATGAATAAGTACCAAATCCCTCCTAACTCAGTTGCGTTGAATGGAATTTCAGGAATTAATTATAAAAACTCATGCAGAGGGTGTACTAATGTGAGGTACTTGAATGTGTAACCACAGGTATTAGTCCAGTAATTCATTTTTGAGTAAAAATGCCTCTTCCACAAATACATTAAGAGGAACTCCTCTCAATTAAGCTTCTTTCACGTGAGGATAAAGCTCTTCTTCCTGGTGCTTCCCTTTGTGCACATAGTGATGCATCGAAGATCCTACACACCGTTGAATGCCATCCCCTCTCTACGTTCCAGCTGGAAGTGCTTCTCCCTTTCATCCCTCTCCAGCGCCCACTTTTATTTTTCGAAATTCAGTTCCTCCTTTCCCAGTTGCATTTATTCATGTTTGAGCTGCAATTCTCTTTTTCCCTGTCAATTCACCTTCTCACTTCTCCATAGTTGCAAAATGTGACCCCGGAAACGGAAGCGTTTCCCGCCAGAAACGAATGCACCTACTATTGGAATGATCATGAATACATAAATAAATGCTATGAATAAATTAAGAACTACAAATAAAAAAATTATATTTACATTTTGGGGCCACTTTCGTATGACACTGAGGAAAATAACCATTGGTCAGATTGTTGACAAGGCCACCCAGGGCTCTTGAGCAAATTTCTTCTGCAGCTTCTTTCTCCTTGTCAGCCTTACTCATATTTTCATGTCAGGCATGCCACCAAGCGCTGCCCCAGTCATGCAAATATATTTGACCTCTTGCAAAAGCTGGTAGCATTCATTGTATTCTTCCCTTGTCCCTGACTTTTGCGCATTTTCCTGTCCTCTTTGCTGAATTAATTAATGACGGTCATGGTATTCTCCGTCACTCTTCTCTCGTCTATTGGCATCCCCATGACATTAAGCTTGCTGGAAATACTGTACCATATGGCCTTCCTCTTTACTGTCTTGGGTTTTTCAGCAAAAGGATTTTGTGCAATCACTTCTCTTAAAAGAAACACATCATCGCACAGAAGCCTTCTTGGATGACATTGATCAGGGAGAGACAACCTTATGGACTCCCGCAGGAACTCGATATGAGCTTTCGATTTCCACAAAAAATATATATATTATAAATAGGTGGGGAATATATTGAAAGGGAATATAAAGACATGTTTAAGAAATGAGGGATTTAGGAATCTGAAACAAAACGGCGGGAAATAAAATGCGATTAGATTTGGTGCCTCTTTCAGCAGAACAGCGAATCATCCGCTGTCCAAATGATGACTGACTTAAACGAATCACAAGACGTCCTACTGAAGTTCACGACTATCAAGTCTTTCTTGATTGGTGGATCTTGTCTCGCGATCACGTTCTTGAGAGAACCGCTGGAAGAGCTCCCCCACGTCTTAGACGCCTTCCTCGCACGTTTTATAATTGTTGCTGACGTCAGCAGTGACGTCAGCTGTCTGCATCTCTTGCCGTCCTCTCCATAACGAGTAACCAAAACTCCCCATTGACGTCATTGCCTACATGTGACATGATTAACTAAAACTAATTTATTTTTCAGCAGGAACACCTGAAGGCGCATAACGAACGCATAAAGTACGCATAACGAGGCATTTTGCTGTGCGTTACGCGTTCTTCCGCAATCTTAAATGTGGTCTCAGGTGTTCCCAGAGGCCCCACTTTCTTATTTAATTATCGGGACCCTTGTACCATACAGCATTGAAGACACAATGATTCAATGTTGATTCATGATATATATAAATGATACATGCTTTTAGGGAATACATAAATTAGAATGTGAGAACCATTTTCAGCCCATAGTTGTCATCAATCACAACCATCGCGCAGCGAGCGTTATGCATTTCTACTAATCTAACTCCACCAGGCACGTGGTCTTCCTCTTTCCATGCTTCCGTTCTACATGTTAGTTACGGTAGTCCAAACTATTAGATAAACACGCGTACAGCTATAGACCGTCGCCGTCCAATCAGAACGCGCTCCTACTTGCGTCATGATTCACGGGCTATCCGCGAACCTTGAACCCATTTCCTAGACTCCCAAGTGAAACTATGGAGAATAATGTACGCATTGTGTCATGTGGTTTACGGGAAAAGTTAAACCGATAAAACTTGAATATATTTGTATTTTAATTCCTGCTGTTATGCAACTTTTGTTTAGCTTGGATTCCATAGAGTCCTTGTTCCTCATGTGGATCAGATGTCCTTTCAGGGACTTTCCCAAAGTTCGGCTTTAGTCAGAGGACAGAGGACAGGCTCCCAAAATCAGACTCGACGGAAAGTCTGACTTCATTCAGGCGGTGCAACTGACCCGAGGTTCGGCTCACTGCTGTGCAATATGCAAAGGTCACGTCGAGTGTTCAAGGGGGTCTGATGAATGGGGAATTCATACCTGGCGCATTCGCAAAGGGATTACATTTTGATTGGCTGGCGACGATCTCTCGTTAGACGCATATTTATATGAGACCTTTTCTATTCTTTTTGGAAAAGCGATAAAAAGGAGATAAGGCAAAGATTGTGACCATGGACTCGTATAAGAACAGGTGGTTCCCTAATATAGTCATAAAACAGCGAAATACATGTTCCATCTTAGCAAGAGACATTACATTTAGTTGCACTTATTCCTTCCACTATTTAGGGAAAAAAGACAGTGCTAACTCCTGCTTCCACCTTATTTACTCTAATAATAACGATGGAAATGAAATTGCAAAACTCGTAAGATTTCTGATGGTAGTTTTGCCAATTTCACTTGACTGAATATAGTATGTGGAGATGGTCAAGCCACACTATCTTTAGAAATAAAAATTCAGAAACACTTGAGCAAATACAGCACCCTCCCATTCCACGTGACTACACCTCTGATACGATATATCTTTTATGCAGCCTCGCGATAAGAGAAGCGTTATGATTTCTGAGAACGGTTGAACTCTCTACAGTCGTGCTTCTATATGCCTGTGATAACATTCTGAGGAGTTCACGCGTACTTCAGAGTAAGACATTGTGCTTTCAGTTTCTCGTGGCCGTGTATTCCAGGATAGATAACCGGACCATTTATACTGCAGGTATACAATACATGTTAAGAAGATTCTCCAGACATCATGGCCACTGATCGTGATGTAATATATAAAGTGATAATCGAATGGAAGAAGGAGTTCACTAATAGCATCATCCTTGAGGATCTCCTAGACCACTTGTGTTTGGCGAAAGTCATCGGGGTGAATCACAGCAACATGTGGAAAGGAAAGACTCCAGAGGAGCAAGTGGAATTCCTCGAAAAGAAGATACCTAAGGAAGGACGTTCGGGCTTCAAAGCAATGTTGGAATATCTTTTTGAGAAAGAAACTGCTTTTGCAGAAACATTGCTGGTATCCCTGGGGAAGAAGAACAAGGAATTTGAGGAATGGATTCGTAGGGGTAAGTATAGTTTATTGATTTGTGTCCACCTTTGTGGACGTTATCAACGATTTATTTTCCAGCGCCCATTCAGCACAACTTATACGAGGAAATCATTTCTATATTTCTGGAATTCTCAACAATCGGAACAAAATCAGAGATGATGTGCTCTTCCACTCGTAGTGTCAACTACATGGATTCTCCCGACGTCATTCTCTGGTGGCCATTGGTTTGAGTCTTTCTTATTATATATGCGTAGAACTATTTTGAAATTATTGCAAAACACTGGAATCCAATTCCGAGAGAGAAAACTTACCTGTGGAGCAACAAAAAGTTATTCATCGGTCAGCTATTGGCTACTGGTGCTCCAAAAATATAGCTGCAATTCAGGAAATGCAAACACTATATTTCCACGTTGTGCATGTCCACACAGAGTTTAAGGCCTATAACCTTTATAATTTTGTGTCCTCCTTTGCGGACAAATAGGTGACAATAAGTTCTCTATTTGTTCTTAATTATTTTACTTGTACCAATACCAGAGTTCTGAAAAGGCTAATATACTTCATTGACACTCTAAAACATGCTAGGTAACTTTTAAGCAAAGAGCTATTCAAAATGTCCACCATGTACTTGCACACTATCCTAAGAAAGACGATGCCATTCGAGAACTGCCGCAAGACTGAGCATCTGGAGGAACCTCCTTACTTGCTTGAAGGATGGACCGTTTCAGTAACCATACATTAGTGTTTCAGCGAAGGCAGACTTTGGCTTTCAGTAGTGCCCACACGGAGTAGTCCGATAGATTGAGGTCTGGTTATGCTGGGGGCCAATCAGTCTACATGGTGAAATTCTGCTTGTTTTGCTCCGATCTTTGATGAGTCACTTTAGCGGAGGGCTGGGGCAGAATCTTTCTGAAAGCTTCCGTATAGGCTGTGGAAAAGTCTTTGACGGCAGTGCTTCACCACAGGTTCCAAAATCAACTCCTCTAATAAAGTATTTTTGCATTTTGCATTTTGGATCATTCTAGCACAAGAAGCAGGTATGTACGGTCATTTTCTGGAACCTCGCCCCAAGCCTTCACTGCAGCCGAATTCTACCAGCCAGAAACTCTACTCACATGGTATCCTCAACAAGCTGGTGCCCAGCAGGCAATTGTTCTGGGCGTTGATTATTTAGTCGTAAACACCTGCTCATCCAAGAGGAGAATATCCTCCTCATCGGGATCGGTGGACTGTTCCAACATACTTTTTTAGTAGTCACTTGCGTCGGGTAGCTGATGTCATTCCGTGAGCGCGGGTCTCTTGGCAGGAAGGCATGCAAGGGCCTCTTGTGACGAGCAGCCGCTTTGATTCGAGATTCATGTTCATCTCAGTCGCCAACTTTCCTCATCGACTGCTTTCGACTTTGTCGCACCCTGTTCTTCAAACTTCTGCTTTTTACCAGTAACTTCCAAACTTTGTGAGAAAGCGCACTTCGTGATCAATCATCTGTGCTCCTTGTCTCAACAAAACGCTTGACAGTTCGTCTAAGACTCATGAACGAGAATACTTTGGTTCCCATCATCCTCAAGACTTAAAGTTAGGAGCAACCCTGCTCATGGAAAGCTCCTACTGCAGCCAAAGTTAGTGTCATGTGTGCGTATGCAATACCTAGCCAGAAAGTAACGGCAAAAACGCCTACCAAACCAGCAATATATGTGGGATAGTGTAAGTGGCCCTCATTTGAAAACTACAAAGGGGACAAAGATAGGAAGATAGCATTTTGTCACCTTGTAATTCCAGATCGATCACGTGCCTGGCTGAAAATATTATTTACAAAAAATATTTGCTGCTAAAGTGAAAACAAATTAACATGGTTAGTCATTATATCCATGTGCATGCCTTTACAAAACCAAGCGTCACAATTGTGTCAAATATAATAACAGAATTCAGAGAATGCCTCGTTGCATCTATTCATATAGCGTGCGCGATTCTGGTCGATAGCAAGGCCAAGCGACAATTGATTATTTTTTTGCTTCTTTATGTGTGTGTGTGTGTGTGTGTGTGTGTGTGACAGCCGTACAGGCCAAACGCTTCGAGATCTGAACTTGGGGTTTCAACAGAACTCTTCTTTACCATCCGAGGATGTACCTTTGAGAAATGAAATTTACAAATCGGTCATAAGAAAGGGAAGAGAAGCAATTCTCATTGGAAATCTTAGATTAGCTCTCCTCTCGCTATCTTTTGGAGTCCTTTTGAACTTAGAAACGAGAGTTTCCGTTGTTCTCGAAAGGGATTGCTGGCACCGCTAAGCAGGAGTACCTCTCGCCTGCTGTCGTGAATCCATGGATTTTAAGGATCCATGATGAAATACCAGGTTATTCCTCAGCTAGTCATCACATGCGTTCACATTGGCTTTTGCAAAGAAATCCATCACCCTAATTTTCTTGTTTTTTTTTCTGTCTCTACATGCTATTAGCAGGATTTTACGAGCAACTCAAAGAGGTCGGGGAGAGTGAGAGTTTTTCAAGGGGTTCAATTGTTTTCCCGCATCGCAGTCGCATTAATAGATTGGCAGGAAAATACAGGTGTACCGATTGGGAACTGGGGTCTTGAAAAAAAAAAACAACAATTCGGTGATTTGCGGATCGTCGCTGTGCTGTGTGTTGCATCTTACTATATTTTTCTTCACCTCCATTCGCATTCGCCTCCTTCGCTCCATTCACTTATCGAGTGCTGAAGATTATCTCGTGTCAAATGAGCCCTGCTGGCTTTATACATATGACTTGCCCAAGTAGCATATAAACGTATTCGAGGAGGCTCAACATTTTTTCAAAAGGGACTTTGAACATCCAGTATACCAGAATGAGCACCTTTTTGATGTACAATTATGGTGTCTCTTAGTCTCCAAACATGATGTATTTGAAATTCTTTCGTCAAAAGTTTAAGATGCTTTCCTGAAGCATATCAATGTCATCCATCTGACATTGGCTTAAGGCAAATACTCGCAAAGCAACTCTAGATGGCGCCAAAGTCGTCGCTATAGTGGGTAAATTCCTGATACAGCTGGAATTAGTCACCAATACTTTCCAAAATGTAGCCGATCTTTCTTCACATAAACCAGAGCGGATGATACTCGAATTCATTGGTGAACCACACGCGAGATGTGTTTTGGATCATTGTCCGGCTGAAAACCCACCTCTCTCACTTCCAGCCGTTCGAGCTCAACTGTCTTGAGCAATTCGTCTTCGGTGATCCTTGTATCTATTATTCCTTGTTTTAGACATTCATATCCAGCTCCCTTGGCCGTCATGCAGCCCCAAAACGTCAGGATGACCCCACTCTACTTGCGGTTTCCTCTCACATGCCAACTGCTATGGCCTCGACAGCTAGTGGGATTCTCCTGCCGTCACAAACACTGGACCATAGAGGACTGGAAACTGATATTTGGTCAGACGAGATCTAAATCAACCTCATGAAGTAGAATGGGCGTGATTGGATATGGAAACAGCGTAGCATATCGGAGAGGCCTGATGTTTTTGGGTTGCATGACGGCCAAGGGAGTCAGATATGGATGTAAAATACAAGAAATGATATACCTGTATGCCAAGGTGCACACAAGCATCCTCGAGGAAGAATTTCTCAAAAATTGAGATAGATCGGCTCGAAATGAGAGAGGTGGTGTTTCAGCCGGACAATGATCCGAGACACATCCCGGGTAACTCAACAATGCTTCCAGGATCACAGTATCAAGGTCATAGAATGGCCACTAGTCACCAGACATCAACCCAATGAAACATTTGCGGCGAAGACTTGAAGCAAATAAAAGCTATGCACGAAAATGAGCTATCAGCATCCATGAGTTGTATGGAGGCGGTTTACAACTGAGTGGGACGCCATATCCGTCGAAATATGCTTGGACTGGATCGAGAGCATGTCTAGAAGGATACTGGTAATGTTGAAGGCCGAAGGCGAATACGCAGAGTATTAATAAATTCGAATTCATGTATGTCTGAGTGTGAGGGACAAAACTATGTCGATGACATAACATACTATTTGCTTTGGCATCATTAATCGCAGTATGCCTCAGATATTTGAGTCAGGGAAGAGGATGAAGAGTGAATTCCCTTGACTGTCTAGATGCAGGATGGAGGAAATGACGAGATTGGACAGATGAGAAAAATTAACATGGAGACTGTAGACTCCATCGAAATAATCTTGATCGACGAAGCAGTTGCTTCATTGAAGGAAATAAATAGTTATTCTGCTGGAAAGTGCGTCACATTTCGAGGAGAATCTGAGTGCAGTTGTACACAGGCACTTGAACCTGCCACTGAACAGAGGAGAGTAGACGTGAACAGTCCCCTCTTCAATTTCAGAGAGAAATAAGCCGAACAGTTCTTTTTTGAAAGGCAAGAAAAGCAACGAGTCTTTCTTGAGGGAACAGGTCTGAACCTGTGATTTTCCTACGTCGAACAAAGTGTCGAACTATAATTAGTGTAAGATATAGATACGTTAAAAAGAGATCAAATTGCTAACATTCGCTGGGTAATGGAAAAAGCAAGGGAATTTCAAATATATATTTACGTGCTTTATTGACTATACCAAGGCTTTTGATTGTGTTGATCACAACTAACTTTGGATAACTCTAAACGACATGGGCGTCCCAAGCCATCTTATCTGCCTGCTAAAGAACCTGTGCGGTGACCAAGAGGCAACGGTCAGAACTGATTTTGGAGAAACCGAATGGTTCAAAATAGGAAAAGGAGTACGCCAGGGCTGCATACTATCGCCTTATTTATTCAACTTGTATGCAGAGCAAGTCATGCGCAATGCTGGACTGGACGAAACAGAAGCTGGCATCAAAATCGGCGGGAGGAACATCAACAACCTTAGATATGCCGATGACACCACCTTGATGACTGATAATGAGGAAGCTTTGAAGGAGCTTCTGATGAAGGTTAAAAAAGAAAGTGCAAAAGCTGGCTTGTTGCTCAACGTCAAAAAGACCAAGATAATGTCAACTGGCTGTATCACTCAAGTGAAGATAGATGAGGAAGAAGTTGAAGTTGTTAAAGATTTCGTATTCTTGGGGTCAATCGTCCACATGGATGGTGATTGCAGCCGTGAAATAAGGAGACGTCTGCTCCTTGGAAGAAAAGCCATGACGAATCTGGATAAAGTGACCAGATGCAGCGACATCACACTGTCGACAAAAGTACGAATTGTCAAAGCCATGGCCTTTCCAGTTACGACATATGGCAGTGAAAGCTGGATAATCAGAAAAGCTGAAAGGAAAAAGATTGATGCTTTTCAATTGTGGTGCTGCAGAAGATTGTTGAACGTACCATGGACTGCAAGGAGGACAAACAAATCAATATTGGACGAAGTAAAGCCGAATTGCTCTCTGGAGGCATCAATAACAAAATCGAGGCTGAAATATTTTGGCCATATAATGAGAAGACAAGACTCATTAGAAAAGACATTGATGCTTGGTAAAACGGAAGGAAAAAGAAGGAGAGGACGACAGAGAACACGATGGATGGACACTATCATGAAAGACACAACTGGGGATGCAAGAACTGAAGCAGTTGGCCATGGACAGAAAATGCTGGCGAGACCTTGTCCATCGGGTCACCAAGAGTCGAACACGACTAAATGGATAAAACACACGCACACTGGTCCTGAACTGGACCGATATTCGACCAATATTGGCAGTGCCAATATTGGTCAGATGGCAGTGCGATAGTCTGATTCCATTTGATCGCCGAATTCCTTCCACGCCTCCTATTTCGCTTTGGCCACAACACGAGCAGCAGTGCGTCGCGTCTCGGTGTAGCACGCCCTAGAAGAATCAGACCTACTGGACATGTACGCCCGGTAGGCTACCTTCTTGGCAGTGACAGCCTCGCGCACCGCTGGTGTTCGCTTGGCGTTACCGTGAGCCACTCCGAGCCACTCCATTCTCCTCACACACTCTTGCTGCCGCCGCCGAAACACCAGACCGAAATAGAGTCCATTCGGTCTCTACTGTACATCTGACGTCTGGGGAGGCAGTTGGGAGTACTTCTCGCCGATCTCCCTCGCAAGTTCGTCACGAGTTCCCTCATCGCGAAGGGCTTCCCACTTCACTCGTCTTTCAACGCGTGCGGTTCTCTGCCTCGTTCTGAGATTCACTCATATCCGAAGTTTGCTGACCACTAGATGATGATCGATGCTCAGTTCTGCCCCAAGCCACACCCTCGTATCCGTCACAAGGCCCCACAAGTCCGCCGAAACGATCACGTAATCGATCAGCGATTGCTGGCACACAGTACCAGTCCGGCTATCAGACCCCCTGTGCCAGTAAACTTGTGGATATCTTTGTGCTGGAAGAAGGTGTTGGTGATGGTCAGGCCATTGCCAGCACAGAAGTCCAGCAACTTTCTGCCACTCCCGTTAAGCGTGGCTTCTCAAAAACGACCGACCATTCCATGTAGCATCGTCTACCCCAACTCGTGCATTGAAGTCACCCATCAGCACAACACAGTCGCCGCTCGGAATCCTTTCTGATGTTCCATTCACCTCCTCCAAAAACGCATCGTAATCTGACTCGCTGTTCGGCCCATAGACCAGAACGACGGCCAAGACTCCGACTTGCTCCAGTCTGAGGCGGGTCAGAGCGACACGTTCGCTGACTGGATTCCATTCAATGACGCTTTTGGTCAGTTGGGGACTAAAGAGTAGCCCTACTCCAGCCTTAGCAAACATGGTCTAGTCGACTCCGCTCCAGTAGAGGGTCCATCAGTGGTCTAGGGTAATGGAACCGGTGCCTTTCCTCTTGGTTGAGGCTAGGCCAACTACATCTAGTTGTCTCCTCCTAGTCTCCTCCACGAGTTCAGGTTCCTTACCGCCGAGTGTTAGCACGTTCCAAGTCCCGATGTTCAGAGTTTGTTGCCAAGGTCGCTTATCGTTTGATTCCGCTCCTGATCTGCCCTAGGGGCATCGTGCCGAGAGTACGCTATGGCCAGTGGCAAGCCGACCGATAGGCCTGGATGTAGCATGACGTGATCCGACGCACCCAGAGACATCGGATTGCCCGGCCTCAGTAACCAACTTATCAATAGTCACCCTGGGCGCACAATGACTATCGCAGTCCTGATTATCCTGGGCGGCGACTAAGCTGCATGGAATACCCGAGCCGAACTCATCATGCTGGATTTGGTTCGTCTTGGTCACCCTTAACGGAAGCCCTTATAACATGGTTGAACCTGAGATACTACGGCCTTCGGCATCACTGGGGTCCACCCTCGCGACGTGGACGCACGAACCATTCAGGACCAGCATAAGACTGAACATTCAAAAAAGGGCCACCGAAGTGGATTTGGAAGCATATAATTTTTTGAGAAGTGGTATTTTGAGTGATTCGTATCTCGGGATGATTTGCCCTCTCTCCCTAGCTCCTTAATTTTCCGTTTTGCATTTCGGCGATTATCAGTTCATGATCTTGTTTGCAAATTCTGTACTCATTGAAACGTAAGGGCAACATGAAAGTCCATGCTATGTATACACGGCGTTCCACTTGGAATTCGCTGAGCAAATTCCAAGTGGAACACCTGGAAAGCCTAGAAAGTACCTTTACCATTCATGCTGGTAGAGATTTTCATTTACTTCTGCGCAACCCATGCTGCAAGGTAATGTTTTTTTTTTCAGGCATTAACATTATTCGTCCCCTTTGACCGATTCAGAGTGAAATTCCAAATAAGGAACTTTAATGAGGAATGAGAGAGTGAGATAAACAGGGTGGTCCCAAGAAATGTACCAACATTTGGAATAACTGCAAAACCGAAGGAAATAAAATTACATTCTATCATTATTTACTTATTTATATTTCACAATCGTTTATCTCTTCATACAATTTTGGTTCACCTGAGGTGCTCAAATTGGCATCCACAAGCATTTAAACATTTAAATTAAAATATTGACAAATTACAATGACTAAGAGAGTAGGTTAATTTTTTGGGCCACCCTGTAAATGATAATCACTACCAAGAGAAAAACCATGAATATGTGTGGTATTTTTTGTTGCACTAGTTAGAAAGTACCGCTGCTGTCCATAATCCCCATAAAATACACCATGATAAATCTTCCACTAGCTCATGTCATCAGGATTTGTCTCAGGGATTATGTAGTCCTTATTTCTGATTTTAGGGAGAAAAATACCCAGAACACACAGGCTACCCACTTCAACCAGACTCTGAGGGACCGACATATTACCGAATGGAGATGCATTACGACAACCCTCAACTCATAGACGGTATCCATGACGATTCCGGTCTCACCATCTACTATACAGACAATCTCCGCACCTACGACATGGGCACCATCGTTCTCGGCTACATTGTCACCTATACCCAAGTAAGCACAACGTTCAGATAATGATTTTATGTTGTAGGTCAAATACAGCTGCTTATATGATGAAGCTGCATTTTTATCGTCGAACAGTGTTTCCTAATGAAAGGTGGTAGAGTAAACTTCATGAACAAGATATAAAAATCGATTTCAGCTCCGAGGTGCATAATTCCTCTTTTAGGCGACACGGAAACAATTCCATTTAGTCCTGACGTAGCATTTCCGCTGGCTAACGTGATACAGTGGCCGTAATGTGTCACGATTACTTCTTTGGTCGGTTGGGTCAAGTCTTTATATTGCTATGCCTTAGTAATATACAGCACGATATACTGCATCAACAGCACTACAGAAGGGTGCAAAAGCAAATAGTTAACCTTGCCTGCCAACCGATTGAACAAATAATCATCACTCCGCCTTGGGATTTTACCAATCTATTCCCCTCTTCGTTCGACCATCATTCTATCATCCCTCCCTCGAGCTTGAGACTTTAATATGGTTTCACAAGCATCCCTGTGAGTAGCTCTTAAATTTTCCATTCATTTTATATGCAACATCTGATAAGTCTTTTTCTGTGATGATTCCAAGAAAACACTCTGAAACTCTATGGCTCTGCGAGCGCCAATCTGTAATAATAAAACTCCAGAATATCTTTTCCACACATCATGACTACTTGTAACAGTACACATTGCCTACGTTTCTTCGAAAATCGAACAAAAATAGCAAGTATTTCTAAGAATCTGGAATAGAAATTCATTACTTCCATTAAAGGATAAACATTCAGGTATGAATATTGAAAGAAGTGACTCTTGGAGATGCGTTAAGCAGGAGAGAATTGACGATTCTAACAGAGCCTATGGGTCTAAGCTCGAATAGCAAATATATGATGATTATCGTTACATGTTCATTATTCAATCCATCTCTTTAAGATTGATTCTGATCTTCTGTTTTTGCGCTTCATTAAAGTTTGTTCAGGGTTTTCAAATATTGATTATTTTCGTTATTTTTAAATGTGAAACCGTCTCCGACATGAGAAAATCATGAGCATTTTAGGCATTTCCTGAGCAATTATTATAGCTTCAATTCTTCTGGATGAAGTATATTTTAGAAGTGAGAGGTATGGAACGCATATAGTACTGAATATCACCGGTCATCCAGGTCAATATAACAAGATTGGCCTAATGGGTTCTGTAATCGAAAAGTGTTTCCCATGATGAAGTTTGACCATCACATTTGAAAACATGATCATCACACCAATCTCCACATCAATATCCTCTGTGCTCCCGTAGAGTTAAGGGTGATATCTTAGATTCTTATTATAGAAATCGTTTTGCATCTACAGCTTGTCCCACCTGGATTGGGTGACTTCATGACTGTGGGCCACTGTCCCGGGGAATGCACGGAGATGTATATTCCTCCTGAGGGCATTCACATCTTCTCTGGACTGCTGCATTCCCATCTCCTCGGTACCTCTGCATACCATCTATCCCCTATCTCTTTCCTGATTTGGAAGCCTAAACTTGCGATAGCGTTTACTTGAAGAAAAATTGTCTTTCTGCTCAATTTCTAATTTAAAAAAATTACGCTTGAGTGCACAAAGAATCTTTGGAATAATTCAATTGAAATTAAATGTTCGTAGGAGAGGGTACACAGTTTTCTCCGTTGTTCATTAGCTTATAAACATTTTATATACTTTCCTAACAAGGAAAAGATGAGGTAAAAATGGGTTCAATTCTATTATTACGTTCAAGGAATGGTGATATTCCAGCCAGTATATATTTATCTTTCATGGTGGGACACCAACGACCAGAGATTTAAAAATAAGTCAAGCCCTATTTTCCGTTAAAAGGCTGAAGGTCCTTCCGATTTCTAAACATAAAAGCCATATCCACGTCATTCCTTGTTGCGTTATGGTGATACTCTGGACTGACAGGGAGAAAGATGAGAGCCCGAATATTCAGAGACGGGGAGGAACTTCCTTGGATCCTCCACGACGAACACTATGACTTCAACTACCAGCAGAGCCGCGTTCTATGGGAGGAATTCCATCTTCTTCCTGGTGATCACATCACCGTCGGTACGACCATATTTTTCAGAGATATGATTGTCATTACGGATTAGGTATTCATTTTCTTCATTTCAATTAATACTTGCTTCCTTTGGCTAATTCAGCTAGGATTTGAATTTTCATTTCTTATTAGCTTTGGTTCGGCACAGTGAAGTAATACTTGCTGGAAGAGGGAGGACAGAGTTAAAATAAGTGATAATGTTTCAGAAAGAAGAACGGCACCATGCCGAATTCGAATGGACTAGGTACGCGCCAATGCGTTATTTTTTCCACCTGGTTTGGAAGATTGTTTGACTCGCTTTGGATTGTCTTTTTTTGCATAACGCAATGATATCACCGATGACAATAACTTATGTTTTTGAGCTAGTTGCAAGTAAAATAACATTAGCAACACAAGCGTTTTCTTACCCAGGCTACCCTCACATACTCTCTTTACTCGATTGAGGATTACATTGCCCCGTGGATTTAATTGCATTTGAAGGTCGGACACAATAATCCCCATATAACTTGACATTTTCGTCTGTATCGTTCAGAATGTGATTTGGATTCGTTGGAACGAGAGGATGTGTCCCTGGGAGGACTTACGACCTATGATGAGATGTGTGAATTTTTCGTCATGTACTACCCCAGAGTGGAAAAGTTAAACCTCTGCTTCACCTCTGTGGAANTGCATTTTTATCGTCGAACAGTGTTTCCTAATGAAAGGTGGTAGAGTAAACTTCATGAACAAGATATAAAAATCGATTTCAGCTCCGAGGTGCATAATTCCTCTTTTAGGCGACACGGAAACAATTCATTTAGTCCTGACGTAGCATTTCCGCTGGCTAACGTGATACAGTGGCCGTAATGTGTCACGATTACTTCTTTGGTCGGTTGGGTCAAGTCTTTATATTGCTATGCCTTAGTGATATACAGCACGATATACTGCATCTACAGCACTACAGAAGGGTGCAAAAGCAAATAGTTAACCTTGCCTGCCAACCGATTGAACAAATAATCATCACTCCGCCTTGGGATTTTACCAATCTATTCCCCTCTTCGTTCAACCATCATTCTATCATCCCTCCCTCGAGCTTGAGACTTTAATATGGTTTAACAAGCATCCCTGTGAGTAGCTCTTAAATTTTTCATTCATTTTATATGCAACATCTGATAAGTCTTTTTCTGTGATGACTACAGATGATTCCAAGAAAACACTCTGAAACTCTATGGCTCTGCGAGCGCCAATCTGTAATAATAAAACTCCAGAATATCTTTTCCACACATCATGACTACTTGTAACAGTACACATTGCCTACGTTTCTTCGAAAATCGAACAAAAATAGCAAGTATTTCTAAGAATCTGGGATAGGAATTCATTACTTCCATTAAAGGATAAACATTGAGGTATGAATATTGAAAGAAGTGACTCTTGGAGATGCGTTAAGCTGGAGAGAATTGACGATTCTAACAGAGCCTATGGGTCTAAGCTCGAATAGCAAATATATGATGATTATCGTTACATGTTCATTATTCAATCCATCTCTTTAAGATTGATTCTGATTCTACTGTTCTTGCGCTTCATTAAAGTTTGTTCAGGGTTTTCAAATATTGATTATTTTGGTTCAGCACAGTGAAGTAATACTTGCTGGAAGAGGGAGGACAGAGTTAAAATAAGTGATAATGTTTCAGAAAGAAGAACGGCACCATGCCGAATTCGAATGGACTAGGTACGCGCCAATGCGTTATTTTTTCCACCTGGTTTGGAAGATTGTTTGACTCGCTTTGGATTGTCTTTTTTTGCATAACGCAATGATATCACCGATGACAATAACTTATGTTTTTGAGCTAGTTGCAAGTAAAATAACATTAGCAACACAAGCGTTTTCTTACCCAGGCTACCCTCACATACTCTCTTTACTCGATTGAGGATTACATTGCCCCGTGGATTTAATTGCATTTGAAGGTCGGACACAATAATCCCCATATAACTTGACATTTTCGTCTGTATCGTTCAGAATGTGATTTGGATTCGTTGGAACGAGAGGATGTGTTCCTGGGAGGACTTACGACCTATGATGAGATGTGTGAATTTTTCGTCATGTACTACCCCAGAGTGGAAAAGTTAAACCTCTGCTTCACCTCTGTGGAATACGAGTTCTTTCACGATCTTTTTCAACTGGGCGGAGTCCATCTCAACTTGTGAGTTCATTAGGGGACGTAGTCCAGCATCATAGCACTTCTACTGTAGAATTGTGTAGTTAACTAAAACTTCCATTTTCCTGATTTTCGCACGGACTAATTCACTACGAGCTAGTCCGAGTTGTATTTTCCTCTCTCCCCCTCCCAAAAATTCAATTGCATCACCATAGCATAACAGCAGTACAAGTATCCTAGCATATACATTTCTTGATTTTCTTCTGAACTTGAAAAACGTTGTATTAAACTGTTTTTTTTCTCAAAGGCGTTTATGTTTATGTAAGCATTTAATCATTTTTTTTGGGCTATCAGTACTTAATAGTATTATAGCAGCAATAATGACATCATCATTTAATAGTGTGCTAAGGATACAAAGAACGCAGGATTTTTAAGTTTTTGCCACGTTTATATAAAGGGTTGCATTTATTTGCGTTAAGCGGTTTTCCCGTATCTATACGTTCAGTTTAAGAGAAGCGTGATCTTTAATGTCACATCAATTACTGGTATATATACGGGATTCGTTCCCGATAGCATCGTAGTTCCTGTTTTTACGGATAGATAGCATCACCTGGCATTTGCCTTCGAATTATTCCATCAACAGAGATGAAGATGCTACAAGTTTGTGTAGTTTGCTGCAGCGAAAAGGAACCAATAGCGAAAGGGCTTTTGGCCAAGTGAGATACCAGTGTGCTGATGTTGATGTTGGACTGTGTTCAACACAACTTTCGCATATAACCTATAAGCAAAGGTACCTGGCGTTGGACGGGTGAATATTGTATACCTCCCATATTAGTCTGCAATAAATATTGTACCCTGGTGTAGGCGACGCAGGCGACTGCTTGAGAGGGGGGGGGGGG